ATGGAATTGGGAATAAGAATTTTAAAAGGGAGTAGTTACGTATTTAAGAGGAGGAAGAGTTGAAACGCGGAGAATATTTTGAAAAAAAAAAAAAAGGATTATTGATGCCTAAAACAGGGGTTTTAACTTTTAACTGAAGCTAATTTATCTGTTTTTTACTAAATGGATAAGTTTTTAAAAATTATTTATCAATGTAAACGTCAGACAATTTTTTTTTTGCCAAATTTTTTTTTTCTGTCTGGCAACAAAAATAAATTAAAAGTTTTGTTTTGATAAGAGCAAAAAAAATTCAACTATTAGTTGAACCACTACTAAAAAAATCTGTATAGCTACGGAAATTTTCATCGACATCATATTCGTAGCTATATGGACGTGCAACCACGAATAAAATTCGTGGGTATAGCGTCGTGACTAACTAATTCGTATCTTTTCGTGGGTAAGTAGCCACGAAATACCACGTTTTATTCGTGGCTATACTAGCCACTAAAAAGCCACGAGAGTTCCGTGGCTATAGTCACGAACTAGTTTGTCACAATTCCGTAGCTAAATTAGAGTATAGCCACGGTATAAAACATAGCTGTTTTGTGACTAATTGTTCAAAAGAATAAATGTTTTATTGGTTTTGATAAATGTAAAAATTTCTGTAAATCAGAAAACATTAATAACCAAAACTTAAATATATATAAAGAAAGATGTCTTAAGTTTGAACATACATACACTAGCAAAAGACATTGATTAAAAACACAAAACATTCCATAGTTCGATTAAGATTTAGCGATTTCATATACCAAGCGATCGACACCAATCATCAAGATCATTCTGAAGCTGTTGGACTCGCATTTGGTCTCGTAGAAGTAGGTGTGGCAGCGGTTGAGACAGAACCAATTGTTGTGGAGGGATTAGTAGAAAGCCTTGTCGGTTGGAGCGTCTCGCATCGCTGCAACACTATTTTTAATTGTCGATACCTATGACTGCTTCGACATTGCCTTTGACCGCTGCCACGTTGTTGTTCACGGTTTGTATGTCTTTTTACAGACTACTAACCTGCATATCCATGTCGAGGTTGCTGAGAAGAGAAGCATAAACACTTTCAGTGGGCTCGTGATCTCGATAGTGAGCACTGCCAAGTCCAAAAATGTCGCCTGCTTTGTTATCCTTAATAATCTGTTACAAAAACCGTGCACACAAACAATGTCACACAACCAACATAAGATTCACATAAGTTATAATCTTCCAAATTCACCAAAGCA